GCATCTCAGAGCAGCCTCCCCAGCAGTGCGCACGTGCGAGCTCCTGGTGTGAGACCCGCTGTGCCCACGCCAAAGCCAGTCCTCGGATCGCAGAGTGTGAGGTCTGCAAGGTACACTGGGCTTGGGCCTCTTTGGCCTGACATCCCTCACTGGAAATAATGAGTGGATCTTACAGCGGACTTTGCAGAGTTCATACAGGACACAGAACCAGTTTGGAAAGGATGGCACGGGTTTTTAACATACATAGTTTTTGATTTTACATGTGTTTAGCTTTCATTTCACTTACACTTGATGTAAAAACTGCATCCCACGCCATGCATGAAATGTTCCGTAGCTGATCTGAGAAACAAAATTGCAACGAAGATTTCTAAAAAAAATTAAAAATAGAAAAAGACATAAGCCCAACAATGAGGAAAAAGAAGAAGAGGAGGAGGAGGAATTTTTCTAAAGTTTTATCATTTGGCAGTGATTCTAACTCATACACAATGAACCAACCTCACTACTTCCTGCATGCGCTAGAGAAATCTCACTGTGGAACAATGCAACCTTATGATTAGACTTTCATATCTATACCTGAGGTGCACCACACAGGACTCAGTGAATGCTCAGGGAGAACTCATGTTGAGCAATCTTTCTTGCTCTACAACAGGGGATCCCAGCTCCCATCCAGGGCTTTGGGGCGGGACAGGTCCTTGCTGTGGAGCTTTGTCTTCAGCGCTGCAGGATGTTCAGCAGCATCTGCTCAGCAGGTGCCCACACCACATCCACAGTCACCAAATGTCACTTGGGGGCAAACCCACAGCTCCTGAGAACCACGAGACCAACACTCACTCTACCTGTGCAGTGATCCTCACAGAATCTTAACTAGGAAGGGAAAACATCTGTGTATAATTCAGTCACATTCAACCAGTGACATTTTCACCATGTTCCAATGTAAGTAGCCAGGGTGTGCATAAAGTTCAAAATATAATGAATTTGTTTGGAACTTACACAAACTGCAAAAAGGGTAGTGAGTCAAATGTCCCTCTTTCAATTGAATGTATTTTATTGCAGGATAAATCTCTAGGAAAAGGAAAACATTACCTCGATTAGTTGTTAGACATCTACTTAGCATGATAAACAGTACACCTCAGAGTTGATACTATTGGACACATAATTTTTGTCCAAACTCTTAATCTTCCCACTTGTACTTGAACTTTCTGGAGACCCTGGGTCTGTCTGCATCTCCCCTAGAGTCTCTCCTTCATGATCTTCATAAATAAAACATGCAGCTATAGAGCTAGATAAACTTCAGAGGTAACCTTTCCTGACAGCAGGAGAATTTTTAGGTTGCCTTGTATTGTCTCATCAAATCCAAGATTGTGAGCTCAGTGTTGTAATCTCTATATGCAATTTCTAATAAGGAGAGGCATGTTCTCACGTTTACATAGCTCCCTGGTTTTCTTCTGTTTTCTAAGCCAGTTTAATAGCAGCAGAAGTAAGAGATATCCATTTATATCACTTGAAATGCAGTTACTCTTCTCATTCATATGCAACACTGTGACTTAACTCAGATTTTCCTTCCTCTCATGGGAATGGCAATTCAGCTTTGGTTTCATATTGCCTTAATATTTTATGAACGACATTCACAGCTCTGGACCCCAGTGGACAAAGCATAAAAATCAAATTCTCATCCTAAAGAACAGGCCATCTTCTCATTTCTAAGCAGACAAAAATAGCATCCAACTCTTTCCACCTTGGCAACAGGTTGGAGAGAGTTTTGATTTGGAATTAGTGAAGACTTGGGGGCATTTCTGATGTGCTAACTGAGGGTGAGCCTGTCTAGCTACCCCACTTCTCCACCATTTCAGGTATCTGTTCTGAACATGGGTGTGAACAATTCCTACATTGAAATCCTTCTTCCAGCAGCTTAATCATCTGCATCATATTATTTATATGATTTATCTGCCTACTTAACTGTTCAATATTGAAGTGTTCATGTGATTCACATTAAATGGTCACGACTTTCTGGCTCAAAGACATCCAAATGTAAAATTTGAAGGTTTAGATTTTCTTCCCCTGAAGCTAACTCTATTTGTTCTACCGATCCAACTTTCTTGTAAATGCCAGAGAGTAAATATGTCCTGCTTTTCAGGCCACATATAGTGGCACTTTTTGTTCACAGCACTTGAAAGTTTTGACACCGTTCTGCACTTGCAGGCCAGATCAAAACAGGCTGTGGATCCGGCTTGGTCCCTGGGCTACAGACTAAATGTGACCAAAGCCGATGGCAGATGAGCACTCAGCAATCGGGTGTGAGCGGACATCAGCCAGTGCTCAGGTCCTGCACCACTGCTCCTCTGTACCCAGGCTCTCCCACCTGAATCTTGTTTATGAAATTGAAAAACTGAAATGAGCAGGCGGTGTTTGGTGCTCGAGGTACACTGACACCGGCACTGACGAACACAGCTGCAACTTTACTGCTGGGAGAGATGGTAGGGACGGTCTGACCTGTGCTCCCCACATGACGCGCGGCACTCATGACCCCTGAATAGATACCACGGCCCGGCAACTCACAAGTACTCCAGGGACAGCAGGCCTGCAAAGGAGTCTTTTCGTAATTCAGTCAGGGAGTTTCCACTGAGATTTCTGGAAAATGAAAAGGTTATTCCTGGATCAAATTTTGCAAAAAAGACACAGGCTATATAGTAGTCAAAAGGAACGAGGAAATAAATGCTGTCTTATTCTGGTGCCCAGCGTGTAAGCTGATGCAATAGTTTTTAGGGGAATTAAAGTTTCATATCTAGAACAGTTGTCACCACAATAATCCTATTTCTAGATCTCCATTCTACAGAATGACTTGGTTCACAGAGAGGTATGTACAGTGATGTTCACTGCACCCACACATGTAAACATGAAAACTGGACATATTCTGATCATCGGTCATAGGGGAATTGTTAAGCCCGCCATGATGGATGCGTCCTATGGAATACTATGAAGGAGTGTAAACGTGCACAGTGGCCCTCACCTGTGGGGAAAGAGAAGCCTGACACATCCCGGGAGAGAGCTTCAGGCTGCAGGATGCAGTATGTGAGGGTGCTCTGGCTGCGACACCTGCCACCCCTCCGATGGCCAGGGTCAATTCGGCTCATCTGGCTGGCTCGGCGGGTTTCCCCTTCCTCCCTGTCCACTTCATGTGTGTCCCTTCCGGTGGCGTTGGCTCCATTGAAGGGGACGGCCACCCCCGAAAGAGCAGCACCACTTCCTCCAGCAGGGTGTACGAGTAGCTGTGCTCCCCTGGTAGAACCTCCAAACAAGCTCTCAGGGGCCAGGCAGTGGACACACCTGTTCTGCTGCATGTAAACACCTATGTAGGCAAATATGGGGGGGGGTCTGGAAAGATCTATATAGAGCTCAGAGTAGCAGTTACCTCGGGGATAGGGAATTGGGGAACACAGGGTGTTTTCCCTTCACTGCTGTTTCATTTTTACCCATTAAGGATAGAATCATGTTTATCTGTGTGACAGATGATGAACATTACTTGTTCCTTATTTCAAGGAGAGCCCACGACACTTCTTTCCTTATTCTTTGCTGTGGTGCTGAGCATGGAACCCAGAACACCTCAGTCAGACCAGCAAAGTGTGCTACCACTGAGCATGCATCAAATTTCCTTCTCACCATAATCATGGAATTTCAAACCATCGAGGCTGATCTGGGACAGGGAGGCGGAAACCTATTTTCACAGGTATTGACATCTGAATTCTGGACCTAGAAGCTTACTGCGATGCAGATTTTCCAGTCCCTGTACTCACAGTTTCTTGACCCACTGGTATGTTCTCCAAACATTCTTATCAAGGGAAGAAATAGAATTTCCTTGGAAATTTCTGTGAAGAGCAGGAGAATGAAGAGACTATGTAAGAGAATCATGGTCACTTGGTGGGGAAATTGAACAGACAGAAAATACTGCCTTGCAATGCCCTGTGCTACCCGCTTCTGGGTTTGCACAAAAAAGAAGTGTGTGGGCCACCTGATAGGATGAGATGGCTCCTCCGGAAAAGTGAACATCTATCCTCCCTGTCCCAGCTCCGGAGCGGGTAACACCAGCCAAGTCCTTGCCATGTAAGTGGTCTGACTGTGACGGCAGCTGCTCAGGCCCCAAGTGACCAGCAGCTTTTCCTCACCATCACCATGTGATTCAATCCCCAGCAAGGACAACACCTATGGCCTGTAGCCCCTTCAGCACTAATGTACACCAGCTCCCCACCACCCTCCACCTTTAGAACGTTCTTTCCATATTTCCTTTCTTGTTTTGAGACAGAGTCTCATAAGTCACTAAGCTGCCCGGGGCTGATACTGAACTTGTGATCTTCCCATCTCAGCCTCCCAGGGTGCTGGGATCGCAGGCGTGCACCACCTGACCTCTCCCTTGTGATGCCTTTCCCTTGTCTTCCCCTCTGTCAGTTTCATGTTTGGGAGACACGGTCATCCTTCTATGGCTCCCACTTCATTAGGCCTGGGCACAAAATGGATGCCATGTGTGCCAGGCCAGGAACACACATGAGCCTGGACAGCTCCGAAGGACTGGAGAGTAATATAAATAGCTGGGACTCGTGTATGTGCCCAGCTCTGGAGGAAGTGTGGCAGAGGCTCACTCTTCTAGTCAGAGCCTCACCACCTATGAGATGGCACCTCCCACGATTCCATTTTTATACACGAGGAAACAGAGTCACGGAGCCCAGTGTTTGCCCACGGCAACAAAACAAACAGAGGAACCACTGGGTCCAAGAGCAGCACTCTGGTCCCCAGTCCTGCCCTCTACTGTCTTCCTCCATGCTCTTCTTGCTTCTTCCATACTGGGATTGAACCCAAGCCCAGGCATGTGGGCCAGAACCACCCCTATGGGCCGGGACGGACCTCCATGTGCCATGCCTGCCTTGCAAGCAAAGGTCCTGAGTTTGATTTCTGGTACCAAAAAGAAAGAACCTACTGGGCAAGGGCAGCTACAAATGAAAGACTAGGAAAGGAACACAGTGGAAGGGAGACCAGGGTAAGGAAAAGGTAAAAGCAGAAAGTCTGTCCACATGGGCTGGGGGCGGGGACGGCACAGGGACCTTTAGAAAAGGCTGCCACATCAGGGACAGTGGAGCACACAGAGGAGGAAGGTGACACTTACAACACGGTGACATTCCTGTTGTGTGCACTGGGCTCGAGGGCAGGCACCTCGTGCCGCCTGCAGGTGGGGCTGAGATCAGTGCAAGACAGGGTCTCCTCCTGGCAGGAACAGAGCTCGCATATGTCCTTGTGTGTCGTGCTGCTCTGTGCACCTAGCACAGTTAAAGCCTTCACCTCCAATGGTTGAGTGGTGACTTCTGTCAGGATTGGATGCTGAGCCTGAACCTGGTCTGGGCGTGGCAGCGTCACCCCGTCAGTGTTACAGGGGCTGTAGATTTCTGCAGGGACGGAGAGTGTGCAGCCTCTGTGGAGGGCACGGCAGTGCTGCTGGGATCCACGTGGGAAGGTGGGCCTGTGACCGGGGGTGATGGGCGATGTTGAGTGGGCTCTTGACCAGGACTTGGAGCTCCCATCTCAGGAGGCACTGGAGGTTGAGTGACAGACTCAGCTGGGTCTGCAGGCAAAGGTCCAACTGTGCCCAGAATCAGGTTTGGTGGTGGAAGTGTCACCTCGGTGGGCTTTTCATGAACAGCTACAGACCTCTGGAGGCCAGTAGGAAGCTCACCCTCTGCAGTGCGTACTGGAGTGATAGTGGCTTCCACGTCCAAATAATCAGATGTGACACTGGGCAATGGTGGCAGCACAGCTTGGTTCTGCGCTCAGAATGAAACTGTAATATCATATTGGGCTGGAGGGGGAGCTACACTCTCACTGGGTGGCTCATGTGGACGCTGAGATGGGTCCACCGCCAGAGCCGGAGAAAGCTCTACCTCCTCAGGAGGCTCTGGGGGTGGGGATGGGGCCTGCTGGTGGCATGGAGGAGGCTGAGCCTCCTTCCCAGCCGGCGTGGTCCTCTTGTTCTTCACAAGCACATTAACTGTGACCCCCAGCTCCTGTGAATGACACGCTTCCCTCCTACCCGGAGATGGAGCTTTTACCTCCTGTGGCACCCACAGCTGCTCCACACCCTCCTCAGCAGCAAGGTCAGGCTGACCCTGGGTGGAAAAAGGCTCCCCTTCCTCAGGGCACTGTGAGAACTGAGCTGTCGTTTCTTGCTGAGGAGAAAAGGATTGCACCTGGGGAGTCTCTGGGTGGAGATTCTGGGCCTCCAGCTGGAATTGAGGTGTAGTTTGTCCAGGGGCCTCTGGAGGCTCTTCTGTGTTCTCCTGGGACTCCGGATCAAGGCTGTCATGCTCACCTCCATCCATACTTGTGTAGATATCCTTCTCTTGGGAGATTTGCTCCTGAAACTTAGGTTTTTCAAGTTGATGTGGAGTTCCAACCACCACCTCAGGGAGTTGCTGATGCCGATCCTGCTCCTCCTCCTTCTTGTTCAGGTGTGAAAGAAACTTTACTGCTTTTGACTGCTGCCTGTCCAGAGGTACAAAAGGTACTTCACCTGCCTGGTGGTCTGCAGTGTGATGGAGCCCAGAAGTCTGGATCTTCCTTTTGAGGTGAGGAGTCAGAGCTGGAAATTGATTCTGACCCCCATCTACCATCAGAACCAGTTTTTGGAGCCTCTCTTGCCAAGGTAGCTTGGCACACAGACTTTGATGTGGGGCGGCAACCTTATCCAGTTGTGGGGACAGCTATCCAGCAAACCTCTGAGGTGGAGACAACATCTTGGTGGGCACCGAGGAATCCACATAAACAAAGCCTCCAGGGTCTTCTGGGGAAGTAAGAGCAGTGAGTGATTCGAGCGGGAGATCAGAATCGAGGGAAGAGGGCTTATTAGCTGCTAGGGGCTCAGAGTTCAGGTGAACTTGGTATGGGGTCCAGCCTGGCTGTGAGACAGCCAGGTTGGGCAGGCACATCTGTTGCCAGTGCAGCAACAATGTAGCCCAGAAACAAAGCAAAAACATGACAGGGCAAGGTTTAGTCACACAGATCTAGGCCAGTAGGGTGCTGACCCTAGGTCTGCTAGAACCTTTCTGGCAGCCACCTGTGTGGCAAGTGCCTTGGTAACAGTGCTCACCCACATTCTGCCACACCCCACCCTTTCTGTATGACATCATAGTGGAGGAAACCTTTCTCAGGGCTGCCCATCAGTGCCCAGGCCTGACTCTCTTTCCCTTAAAAAGTGACAGTGGCTTTTTGCAGGGCCTCTTCTCCATAGCAATGCCAGTGTGTGGTCTTGGGCCTGCACCAGCCATTGGGTGGGGTGGAGAAGAGCTTCCCATGGAAGTTAGGGCTTGGTCTTGGGATGCTCAGAAGTGTTGCAGCAGAGAGGAGCAGCTCTGTGCTATAGCCAAGTGTTACCACTCAGTGTGGTGCCTCTGAAACACAGCTCTGAGGCACAGCTGAGCTTTATTGCTCAGTGTGGCAGCTCCGGGTCACAGGTCTCATTCTTTGAAGACTTGGGAATCTGATGGTCAGTTGAAGAGGTGGAGATAAGCCTTTTAGTATGCCAGTGAGCCCCAGTGGGCTCAGAGGCGTCTGAGCACTCTACCAGAAATGAGAGCCTCCTTATATAGGGAGCCACAGGGTAGGTGAGCATGCTCACTGAAGCAAGGAGGGGGGAGGCGGAGTTACAGAACATTCCTGACAGGGTCCAGAGCTCAACAGAACCTTCTTGTGAGAGGGCAGGGATTAACAGAACATTCCTGAAAGGAAACACAGTTCAAACACCCACACGCCACTTTGATACACTGGGCAGGAGCCCAGCCACATAAACTTACATTTCC